TATTAAAAATAACGTTATGAGGTTTTATAATGTATGATGATATCGGGCTCACGAGAGCTGTGACTCGTCGGGTCGAACTGGAAATACTAAACCATATAATCAACCTCCTCGTCTTGTACCTCCATAGTTTAAAGAGTCTTTTCATGATTTGATAAGAGAGACGTATTAGTACGTAATGCAATCACGCCATCCACATCATACTGAGCGGCCCCAATTGTGTTAGTAAAAAAGAGAACGGAACCCTAAGACTGTGTATCGATTATCGTTGACTTAATGAAGTCTCAAAACGTGATTCTTTCTCGTTGCCACGAATACGTTTTGACATATTGACCGCTCCGAAAAGGTTCTCAGCACTAGAGTTGGCATTTGGCTATTGACAGGTCGCAGCACGTGCAGATAATCGACACAAGACGGCTTTTTATTATACCATAGGGTCCATATGGTTTTTATACAATGTCTTTTTTGCTAGCTAGTCTACCTTGCAATACGCATACAACACTGTCTGGGTTTGTGTCACATGTTTGTTCGGTGTATTTGTTTGATGCTATAGTACATGGAGAAACCGTTCATGAACACCTAGGAAATTTGCAAACAGATTTATAATGCCTTCAGAAAGTTGGATTAAAAGTACAACCACTGAAATATTGCTTTATGAGGTAGCAAGTTAAGTTTGTAGATCATGTCGTTGATGATCAGGGAATACACCAAAACATAAAAAATGTTGTTGCTACTCTAATCCGGGTTGTTCCACAAAATGCTAATGAACTCCGCAGCTCCTAGGGCTAACAACTTATTACAGAATGTTTAAACAAGGATTCTCGAGGACTGCAATTTCCCTTCATACCTTGTTAGGGAAGTAAACTTGGAGTAGTTTGAAAGGTGCTAGCAATCTTTTGACCTGTCGAAGAAGTTGTTGCGTCTGACTCTAATTACTGTTGCAGTTAGACTTGAAAGATTCCAATAGCAAGTCATGGACTCAGTGGTAGGACTCAAATTCACACGCTGCATGTGACTTTTAGAGTCTCTGAGTATGTATCCTTCAGAATGTTAGTGACTGCGAGATCTTACAATGAACTACATTATCTTGAATATCCCTCGGTATTCTCTAAAAGACTTAGTTCATTTAAGCTGCAACATGGAATTTGGGGAAAATTGTTATGTATGTATTCAATAATGATTCCTTTAGGCATATCCATATTCACTGAAGAAGATGAAGGATCCACGAATTCTCCCGGAAGTCGAAGTATCGTTCAATAAACCAGTTGGGCTGTAGTGTATCCAATATCAGCTTTTAGTGGCCCGTGGATCTGACTCTAAGATCGTATAAATGTTTGTTATCGCCTATTCTCGTATATCATCGTCGACTTAAATCGCGTTATCCTATAACGAAATTAAATAAGTCGAATAACGAGAATTGACTTGAGAATACATATATTTCGTACATGAAGCGAATGAAACAGAGCAAATCAAAATGACACGCAGGGAAAATGGCTGGGAAGCCAACTCCATTTTGGTCAAGCGTTACTCAATATTTATAGTCAGACAAAATAAAGCTACAGACATGTGATTAATGGAATAAGAAGGGCACACATATATACGCCCATATAAAAACAATCAAGACTAATAAGCGAATAACTGACAAGGTCAAAATATGACTCAAGTAGAACGAATAGAATGGTTTGTCCAAAAACTAGAATAAGATATATGGGCTTAAAGTAATGAGTGACACTACAAGCTTGTGCTGCATTGCGAATACCTAGTAAGACGAGTGGACAGGCGTCGGTCCACTGTGAGACATTTACAGCTGGTAGGGAAACGTTTAGCTGTCGGTGAATGCGTTCTACCAGCCTGTATGCTTGTGGGTGGTAGGCCGTCGTTCGGAAGTGAGTGATTCCTAATAGTGTTGTCAGACAATGGAAAAGTCTAAATTCGAACTGGCGTCCATGATCCGTAGTGATAGTTGCAGGGCAACCGAAGTTTTCCATCACTCGTCCGGCAAAGGAGCGGGCCACCGTTTCAGCAGTAATGTCCTCGATTGGTTCTGCTTCTGGCCATCGAGTGAAACGGTCTACTGGAATTAAGAGATAAGAGTATCCATTTGAATCTGGTAACGTTCCTACTAAATCCAGATGAACATGGTGGAAACGAGTATCGGGAGTTTTAGATGAGCCTAATAACCTTAGATTTTTGGCAGCTTACAAAGGAGCGTGCCCACTCCCTCACGTCTTTATTCATGTCAGGACAGCGAAACCGTTCTACCATGAGCTTGATGGTTGCACGAACACCTGGATGAGAAAGTTTGAGCAATGTGTTGAAGACATTGCGTCGATGACCTTTCAGCACGATTGGGCGGTCCCTACATGTAGATGTGTCTTAATGTAAGGTTTCCTTACCTGTTCCCATCTGTTTGATGCGTAGCTTGAGTGTTGTAAACGATAACTCGTGCTGAAGATCAGTGTCTTCTTTTTGAAACTGGGCGAGTTTAAGATGGTCGATTCCTAGTAGACTGTTCAAGGAAGTTATGCGAGATAAGGCGTCTGCAACTACGTTGTTAGCTCCAGAAATGTGTTGGACGTCTGAAGTAAACTGCGAAATCTAGTCCAGTTGTCGAGACTCACGAGGTAAGTACTTATCTGAAGAGGAGCTTAAGAAGAAAGTAAGAGGTTTATGGTCAGTGAAAAGGGTGAATTTACGGCCTTCGATGTAGTGTTGAAAATGCCGTACAGCACAATACATAGCCAGGAGTTCCCTACCGAATGTGCTGTACCTCGATTCGGTGTCTAACATCCGTCTAGAGAAAAATGCCAAAGGTTGCCAGGAGTTGTTAACCCATTGTTATAAGACTCTTGCGATTGCTGAGTCATATGCGTCTACTGCGATGCTAATGGGTGCTTGAGTGTCCTGATGTGCAGGCATTGTTGCTTTAGTGATAAGTTGTGAGGAATGCTTTTCGTGCGGTGTCGTCCAAATTAATGGATTTCGCATTTCCACGAAGTTGGTCAGTAAGAGGTTTTATAAGTTACGCGTATTTCGGTATGAAACGTCTATAGAAACTTGCGAGCCCGTTAAAAGTGCGCAATTGCTTAATGGTGGTCGGTTCATTGTAATCCAGAATGACCACCACTTTGCTTCTTAAAGGAGAGATGCCTTGAGCATCAATCTTGTGTCCTAGGAAGTCAAGGAGTTAGATTCAGTGATTTCTAAGAATCGGTCGGAAGATGCAGCCAGCTCGTCTACGGCGTTGTTTTGAAACGAGATTAGCACAGCTTGCACTTGTTGAGGAATTTTAGATAAGAAGAATTGTCTGAATAGGCCATTATCGAACGTTCTTTGGTAAATCACTTCTCTCATTCGTAGCAACATTTTTGTCGCAGAACCGTGTCGCAGGTCGATATTATTAAGGAGTTGGCCTAACCTTTATCGATTGGTTAGGTTTCCGCGTTTAAGAGTTTTGTAAGGTTCCGAAGCATCACCAGTAAACATACTAGGTGTGACTTGCCCCTCGGTAGTGCCTTGACTACTGCGAGGAATTGTGCACGTGTGTCGTTCACGCCGTGCTCGTAGAAGTCGGCTTCTGCATGGCAGAACCAGACCTCGAGGTTTTCTGGCCAGAAGGACATTAGTTGAAACGAAGGTGGGGACATAGTCTTTAGCTTAGGTACCTTGGGTGTCTGTTCCGTCATGGTAAAATATCAAGTATGAGAATGAACGAGCAAAATATTGACGTATATAAATATCCAAAAACGCGGAAATCACACCCCAATATCTAAAAATTAAAACGAAGCAATGATACATAAAATCCCAGAAAAGAACAGACTCACAGTTTGCAATTTGGTGTAGCAGATCACATCGGACTCAGTGATGAAGATGCCACAGGTATTTGGAGTTCGACAACGCTTTAACCAGTAACACCTTCTAATATGAAGCGTACCCACCAAGTGAAATCAAAAGACAGAAGCGAGGAGGTTAGAAGATAGATTTGATAGGCTATCAATATATCGAGGATCTACTAATCTAATCTGGCTAGCGATTGTAGGGGATGTTGAGCACGGCGTTCTCATTCGTGATCTGGTGCGTTTGCATGACTGACCGCCTTCAGCTAGGTCAGTCCATTAAAATGAATGTGATCAGCATCGAATGTCGAAAACTTATAGGGCTATTGATTTTGGGGATTTATTTTCCTCTACATACTTAACATACAAATACCCGAAAACTATAATGCAACACAGTAAGGTGAACTACAGGCACACTTCCCAATCGTTGCGCGTAGCCAAGTCTTGGGTCTCTCTATCGGTGGATGTAGTTTAAAAAGCAAACCTTAAAACCTTAAAGAGATTTGTTGGATCCTAGGTGCTCGTAAAACTGTTTCATACTAATTTGCCAGTATCTCCGTCCGTTCCATATATCTAGACCCCTACATGGAGGAGTCGGTGACCTACTACTACCAGACATGACAGCTTGTCAAGTGAGAGCTTCTTCTGTTCCATCGACAACCATCCGATCAAAGTTTAGGGTTTGAACTTCACTCCCCAGACTCTGATCCCCCATTTCTCTTCAGCTATCTCATAAGAAGGTTGAATGATTCATAAAAATTTAAATTTATAGAACTAAGCAAAATGTTTTAGCTTTGTACCGTAATAAATTGACAATGACGAGGATTGTACATTGAGAGGACTGTTAAGGTCTGGCATCTTCATGACCTTGGCGGTAAAACAATCTACTATTTTCGACTGAATTGTGGGTGTTGTTTGTGATGTATGACAATGAATGTAGCGTTCTTCCAGTACAAATACACGTGTAAGATGAACCTAATTTCCGCATGAAATTAATAAGTTCTGGCATTCGAAACTAGAAGTTGATAAAGTAAAGTTTCAATTGTTATTTCAAACCTAAGACCTTTCCAGCCAACAATAGGAAACTAATCGTTGCTTGTGATTTCTGTTTGAGTTTTCCAGGGTATGTCATAAATAAGAAAGGATACAGTTCTATGATAACAGAAGATGCTTATGAGTAAAGTGATATTTATCTGGACAAGCTGTTGCGCGTTTCTGTTCTTGTTGATTTTAAAACTTGATGAAATCGTTTACTGGAATTGGTTCATCATATTCATACCAATGTGGTCTTTTGATTTTATGTTATTCATTACCTCAATACTATATATGTCACGAAAGTATGTTCTTATAACTCAACTGGTTGATTATTATGCATTAAACTGATGAATTTTCAGATTTACCCATATAATTGGTCAACATAACGTTGAAGGTAGATTTAATCAGACTCTGACATTGAGTTTTATCTTATGGAAGTTAACTGCACAGGTTATTCTCTGCCTATCCCTGGAAGGCTATTTAACCACTTTGTTAGACAGCTTTTCTCAGTCGAACGTTATTAACCAGACTACAACTAGCAATCAAACCGGTAATTCAACCGCCGTTAAAACCCGTCTGGTTTATGCAGTATTTCCTATATGGACTACAATGGTTGTATGTTTATTAATAGTGTGCACTCAAATCGTAAATCCACGTTTAACTGGAATTTGGTCATTTTGTTCAAATAATCAACCATTTGATGGCCATCCTGAAAGACGAAAACAATAAAAGACCAACGTTTTAAGGGGTTTTGTAACGAATTGAAAAGTTGTCGGTTGATAATGTTATGTATTTGTCACTGTTTATATGTGTACTATTCCTTTGTGAATAAAAGTGAGATTTGTTTAGAATTGTTTTAATCTACAAATCAGAATTTGTTAAAAGAAAATGGTTTACATAGGGGGTCATTTATGATACTTGTCCGATTTTACCCAACTTTCTGTCCTTATTAAGTTGTTTTTGAGCAGAGTGAAGATGATCAATTTGGTTAAAACAAGAAAGTTTCCTGTGTTCCAGAATTTCAAGCCTGTTCTAATTAGATCTACGGATGAATTGACGTATTGATGTCGTCGGTATTTTGGAACCATATAATTCTCGTACGTTTCTTAATGATCAATATATACCTTCAAATTTACTATTGACAGTAGATCGTGTAGACTACATAAATCTTATCTAAAGGAAAGTAGGTCGACAGGGATTTCATTGATTTGTTCGCCAAAGGTTCAACAAGTAAAATAATTGATTTGGAGCATCTAAGAAGTTTATTATTTATGTTGAAGGATTTCAGCTACATTGAGATTACAATAATGAGACGTTTAGAAATTAACGTGTCTAGGGCCTTTATGTTGAATAATATTGATAAAGGAAATAGTACAATTGACTTTATCAATGCTTAAACGATAAATGCACATCCTTCACCTTCTACTTGGACACACTGCACCAAGCACTATGCGTCATCTAGCAAACAAGAGGAATGTGTCAGCGATTGTATATGGCTTACGACCCATAAAACATTCAGAAGTGTTCTAGAACACCTCTCTGAAAACAAATAACTGAATAAAGCCAGTAAAAACATTGGCGCAGAATAATATGAATTCATTATATTTCTCGGTTTCTCATCATCTGCTTACAACCATGTGTATTGAAAGTTAACGTTGAAATAAGATATAATGTGACGCAATCTACGAAAAATAATTAAAAGGAAAAGAATTAAGACGACAAAGGTCACCGATGTGTATATGGAGTTGGAATTCATAGACATAAGGGGTGGGTGATGCATTAATTAAACGAGGTCTGGATATAGATTGTGTGGTAATTTTAGAGGTTATGGAGGGTTTACATAAGATTACTGGAAGTAAAATAAGTTCTATATGATTCTGTTTTTTGCCTGTTGCGTGTATATTTTGGTATTTCGACCAAGTGTACTATTACCGGTGACTAGGGCAATATTACGCTAGTTTGTCTTGCTGGTGAGAAAGTAGCTGGATTCTGGCGTTAATTGTTGGATCTCCGACCTATTATGTATATCAGTGACCACATGTCCACTTTTGTCACTACATATTTCAGTTTTGAGATTTTGACAATAGAATCACTGTAGGATATCTCGGTGAAATAAAGCTTGATCTAAGACGTAGTCAGAAAGAATGCAGCAAGAACTGATAGTGGACAAAGCATCGTTTCGTGGAGTTTTAGTAATTCGTTTTTGGACGGATCCACTGTTCGATGATTAATATGTATGTGTGGTCAAATTGGCCGGTTGACAAAAATTCTCTTTTCTATATCAACTATTGGAATCTGGATTGTTCAAATATCACTTACTGGGTATCTGTGAACATCTGGTTCGTTGGAGACAGGTGGAGTGCTGGTGTCTGAAAGTTATTTGGGACGAAGCATCCATTCAAATAAAATCCTATCGTAGGGAACGAGAAGTCAGGTGGGGATAATCAATTTATTATTTCGTGCTAAACCACATAGTAGCTTAGTAAAATATGAAAATCGTATATTGAATACATCATTTCCTCATCTTTCCATTACCCTTTACGAACTTCACTATTCCTCTAATTCTGTTGTTGTTTTGATTGCTCATTCATTTTCTTCCTGTTCTCTTCACTTCAATCTTCTACTGCAGGTATTCCAGCATAGGTAGCATATAAAACACTATATCAGAAACTAAATAACACCGTTAGTGGCTCAATACGAATGCTTTCTATATCTGTGACTCAACTGGTAAATTTACTGACCGTCATAGACACCGAATCCGACTAACAATAAATATTTCCCTTCTGTTATATGAATACTTAGCTGATATTCCTCATGAGATACGTAGGTTAAGGCGAAGTATATCATTTAAAATTGTAGCATCTGAATTTAGGGTAAAATAATGTTGGGATCACTAACATAAAGTGTTAACATTTGTCATTTTATAAAAGAAATGAAGTTGTGAGATAAATGATCAGAATAAATATGATCAACATGGGGCGAGAGAGAGAATACTGTCATTGCAAATCAGAAATCAAGTAATATATAGGATTGGGAATGAATTAGTAAATAGGGGTAGATGCTGAATAAATTGCTCAAAAACGTTAGCGGTTCTTATGATAATGATGACAGCAATGATAATAATAATAATAATAGTGATGGTATTTATGGTATGATGTATGAATAAGATAGATTTAAGCTATGCGAATTAGCACTAATCGAATACTGCACAATATCATAATGATTATTAAATAATTAGGCCATAAGTTGGATAACGGAAAAGGAGCGACTAAATATATTTCCTCAAATCATGTTCAAATACTGTTGATATACTTTATAAAATACAAGTAAATTTGGTGGGAGAGTTAAATCTTCAGAAGAACGAAATGATTTTACAGTGTTTTTACAGTTGTCTGAATGATTATGATTGCAATATCCCAGTATCATAGTTCTTGGTGATTTGTAGAGATTACATTGCAGATTGAAAAATGTCAGCAACTGTTTTATTGTGATTGAAGTCATGTTCAAGTTTTGGTAGTCTGAAATGAATGACAGAATTGAAGCATAAAGGTTCTGTTTCTGAGAATACTGTTTTGTATATGTTGAAATTTCATAATGTGGTTCCATATTAGTTCGGTTGACTGGTGTTTGCAGTTCCTAGCAGTCAGTAATAAATAGGTCAAAAATGTTGTAGTCTGCCATCATTATGTTTAAACGATCCAAACATTGAGAGGTAATCTATTTATGGTGGTCAGACTAATGACAAGAACATGTAGGCTATTACCCACCATGTTTTCATTTTCACACAACAAACAGAATTTCAGACTACACTTTATGTGAACACAGAGCAAACGACCAAGACTAAACATTTACTCATCATAAAGACACTCACATTCGACTTTGATTAGATTCCAATAGTTTCTCCCCAATCAGACACAAAGAGCTTCGTTTAGAAAACTATGAGATTGTGTAATAAAACTGTATTCATCAAGAAAGATCAAAGACGAATTAAGTATGGTTAAAAGTGTTTGTGAGATAATGGTTACGGAACAAACTGATTAATTAGAGTGGGAGAAAAGAAAGAAGGGAATGGAATACTCCAACGTAAATAATAAATGACTTAGTAGGACTCAGCTCTGAAGTTGATTGAGTTTCTAGCATGATTGAGTCCAAAATGTTCGGTGTTGAAGAGAACGCATCCAGCCTAAATTCAAGTCTTGTTAAATCAAACCAAATGTTAACGAATAACTAGTAGGAATAATGATAATAATAATGATATTTGATAGAAGTCTTGTCAACTCTTTCATTGTCCTGTCACTTCTGGTTTATATTCAGCTGTTGTTGTTAGAAGGGAACTGCTATGACATTAATTTCATCTGTTCGTTACTACATCATGTGATGACTTCAGTCGAACTACATGGTGGTACTACGTTAGTCAGTCGTTTGTCATTAAGTTCATAGTCTGTGCATTTCAAATATGAAGAACGTTCTGTTTCATGGCTAGCATTTTATAGCGAGTTAGTTTTCGACAGGTGAGATCGCTAATCACATGCCCAACCCTCCTCCTTCATCCGTGTTTCGGACAGGTAGTAGTAGTAGTCTCAGAGAGGATCCTGTTGGAGCCCCCATGCAGGTTTATTTCTATTAGATATAAGTAGAATTCTATTAGTGAATTGATGATTGTATTCTGTTGAAACTATTCTGGCGCATAATTCAACATACTACTAACTTCTTTAAGTAGTAAGAAATGTGAAATATGAATGAATGAATCAATGAATGGATGAATTGTCAACAGCTTGTTTCAACATTATACAACACAATTCAAAGTTCATTTATTCATACAATTTGATTATTATAAAGTGACTGTATTTAAAATTATTATTATCACTATTATTATTATTACGGATTAGACAAAGTTCAATGCAGATTATCCAAGGTTTATGCATAGACACACATTGTATTATTACTATTCAATGAAGTGAACATGAATATGAATCGGAAAATATCAATTGAACACATTCATAATCAACACTTACATAGAGATTGTTGACAAAACATTATGAATACCATATTTTGGTAGGTGGATTCCTCATAACCAAATCATTGATTATATTGAAGTAAGAGAATAAACAGGTTTGTAGTGTGTATTACAATTTGTGGATTATACCACCATCTCATAATTAGAATTTCCAATCAATCAACTAGTGAAAGAACATCACCAGTTTTACATCCAACATGATGCCAACTGAGGTAATACGATATACAGTAATTAATACAATCATTGTAGTTTCTATTCATTTTCACTGGTTGTTTAACCAAAGTCTGTTGGCGATCCACTCATGATGGTGATATCATTTAGTGTATTTATATGGAATATTTGCAGTTATAACTGTATTTATTATTATTATTATTATTATGATTAATTATTTGCTATATCAGATGGAATATTCAGTTGGCTTGTTAAATTGTGTACGGTAATTCATAAGAGTTTTCATCACGAGTAGATATCGTTAAGAGACCTATTGAAAATTGTGCCGCATTAAACGGTTGTTTCTTTATAGTTCGGAACTACACAGAAGTGAGAATCCATCACTTCCCACTAAATTGAACATAGGTGCTACAGTTCTTGCAATGGAAATGGTATCAACAACCCCTGAGTTGGAACTCCACGAAATCACGTAAATCACAATTTCCAACTCTAGTCACTTGATAATATAACATGAGTAACCATCAACCGATTTCGAGATGGTAGTGAACATTTGTTGCTCAGGTGGATGATTATGATGGAGTATTGTTCTCTGAGCTGTATGGTTTTGTTGTGGAGCCACCGTGGTTATTCTGAGCAACATCGTCAGCACGAACTTCATGTAGAATTGAAGTGTTCGAATTTCTCCACATATGGCTCACAACTCGTCCGGTAGACCTCAATGTTGATTGGTTATTGTTCACCTTGTTGGGGACTTTAGATCCCCAAAACTCATATTTTGTGATTTCATCTTATCTATTAAATGTTTAAATATTTGTATGGGGGTCAATTGATGAACTTATCGATTAAATGTTAAATAGCGGTCAATTGATGAACTCATTGATTAATGTTTAAAAATTTTCCATGACAATATCGACTGTAAATATTTGTATAAATACTCTTGATTTGTGTGCTTGACCTGACTTGTTATCTGCTGTTTGTCTGTAGAATACACTTTCTACACCTTATCCAGACTTCTTGATCGAGTTAGCAGAGTTGGGGACAACGAACCAGAATAGCTATCGAGTCGCTGAATCATTGATCCTTCGTTCCGTTCGAGTAAGACGCATCAGTAGTAGCATTCAAGCATAACGAATCATACCACACCTCTAACCAATAATTGTTTTCTTCTTTATTTCGGTTGTATCTCCCATTCCATTTCATTTTCAAATCAATTAACTCGTCACACTTTCTCATGAGAATTTTGGAAAGCCCAGTTCTTAATCAGTCACTAATTCCCAGTCAATTGTTATTTACTTAGATGGATAGTAGAGATTTATGCATTACGTTTGTTTTTATGACATGCTTGCAATGCCATCTACCACATAGAGTATGATTGTGCCATGTGTGTATTGCTGCATTCACGTTGAGTCATATTTGGATGAGGTGATCTGACATACATCATCGTCTTCTGAATAACCACTGCTTTACGAAAGACTCAAGGATCAAATCATCAGCTTGACCAACAAATTACCAAAATTCGTCTCAGGTTAATAAATATTCATCATGTATTCATCAATTCTACCTTTATTACTATCGACTACTGGACATCACATAAAGGCCTCATATTGAAACATACATCGTTGACTGAATACCGACTAAGGATGAAAACCGAATGAAATTCACGAGACTCACTATTCTCACTTCAATTGTCTCATCGGTTATGAGTGAAGTGTGGTTAATTTCAGAAATTGTTCCATCACTTATCATACAATGTGAGAAACGCTATCCACCATACAAACTCATTCTCATTTTAACAAACTAACGATAACCGAGAATCCATGAATCATACACTTGAATCACCACAACACAATCACTATCATGTGATCATCTCACCACTGTGCATCGAATCGCATTTGAAATCCACTGTATATTTTGACTAGTATTCAGTGTTTCGAGACAATCGGCATTGAGTGATGAACGTTGAACACGGATCATATTACGATTTACCGGAATTCAGTTGAATCTGTTTCGATTGATCATAGTTACACAAATTGATTATTATAGATGACTATTGAATTTCGACACTCACCCATATGGTGTATCTGTAGTTTGCATAAATTTAATACTCATTCAGAAAATTCTTGACATCTAATTGTGTAGTCAAGTATTTTGGAAATGAGTTATGAGATTTTATTACATGAGAGTCATATTGCACCACATCATCTTTTCATTTGTGATTTCCTTCCAGATTCAACTCAATCGTCGTTAAATTGCATTCTATCAATCATCATAATCTGTCAGTAGAAGAGATGATACATAATTGTGGAATTGGAAAAGTGGTCAACGTGTGGACACAGGGAGTAAGCTACAACTTGGATAGTTCACAAGAAGCATCCATTAATCAACGACAATATTCAAATAATGATGGTGATATTTTTGCATTGAATGTAAGCTGAAATAATCTATGTATGCTTTGTTCGTCATCATGATACTAATATTCCTACAAGAACTCTTGATTATCACTGTTCTCAGTTTTGTTATCAAAATAGTCTGGATATCTGCAGTTCATTTCTCTCCCTTAAATAGCAGTTCAGTGACGTATTTCAGTTTATAGTTTCTACTCATATGTCTGTGTCGATTTGATGACTTCAATCCATAAATTGATTGTTGTAGAACTAAGCAATCGTCTTATATCTTTCTTACTTTGTATGCTAGAAATATTATGTTTTCGAAGAATTGAGTGTCCATTAGATAAACTGTCACTTCTTACAAGTATTGGCAAAATCTTTTTATGATAATATTTTTATTCACGACTTGTCACCATTGAACTTAATACAGATTATTTTCAGAAGAGAAATTCAATGATTCACATCTAGTAAACAGACTTTAGTTTAATTGACAGGATGTTTGTTCACTTAGTTTAAACGGTTTTGTCCATACGGATAATGATGATGCATTCCGACACTGCACGTTGTTGATAGCACACTACCTAAATTTAGTTTTCACTACAGCTGAAGTGTTTCTTTTCAAGTTACTCGGTAATTAAAAAGGGGGAAAGGTTTTTAAAGCTGGTGATACTTGAAGTTAATTTCGAATCGATTCTGTTTCTTCTGTTAGTAATGGATACAGTGATCAAAGATTTAGGAATCAATATCTGATTCCATTGAACCATGCTAATAAATACTTACTTACGCCTGTTATCCCTCCTCGAGGAGCATAGGACGCTCGCCAACATTCTACATCTAACACTGTTCTAGACAACCCTTTCCATTTGTTTGCAGTTGCTATTCATCCTTTTCATGTCTATTTCCAATTCCTGACGTAGTGTGTTCTTCGGTCTTGTTCATTTCCGTTTCCCTTCAGGATTAGAAGTTAGGGCTTGCCTCATAATGCAGTTTGATGATTCCTACAATCTTCTTACATTCCATTTTCAACATGTTTTCCTAATTTCCTTTTCAGTTGGAATCCAGTTTGTTCTTTCCCACAGTAGACTGCTACTGATGGTATTCGACCAACAACGGACATTGAGTATGTTGTGTAGGCAATGGTTTATAAATACTCGTACTTTTTGATGTTGGTTGTGATAGTTCTCCACATTTCAGTTTGGTGCAGTAGAACTATCTCAACATTCGTATTGAAGATTCTGACTTTGATGTCGGCATACAGAGAGGTGTTTCGAGTTCCATATGTTCTTAAACCGTGTGAATGCTGTCCTTGTTCTGCCAATCCTCTCCTTTACGTCTGCATCCGATCCTCCACGTTCATCGATGGTGACGCTGACCAGGTACGTGAAAGTTTCCACTTGTTCTAGAGTTTCTCAATCAAGTGTGATTGGGTTGGTGTTCTCCATTTTGATTCGTTTGTGTATGTTGAGGCCTGCTGATGCAGAAGCTGTTGCTACACTGTTTGTCTTGACCTGCATTTATTGATGTATATGGGATAGGAGGGCTAGGTCATCTACGAAGTCCAGATCGTCTATTTGATTCCGTGCTTCCCCTCAGATGTCGAGGTATTCATAATTCAGTTAACCATCAGAAAGAAAGTGGAAGGGAGGGATTAAGCAGCCTTGTCTGACTCCGGTCCTCACTGTGAATGCATCTGTCAGCTATCTTTCACGCACAAGTTTGAAGTTTAGTCCATCGGAACGATTCCATATAATGTTGACAATCTTTTCAGATACACCATAGTGTCGAAGGTTCCGTAATGTTATCCTATCCGCACTACCGAATGCTTACTAATAAATTATGGAGTTGATGTTTAGTGACGAGTTCCACTCAACGGATTGTTTAACGATGTTCCGTAGTGTCAAAATTCGGTCTGTGCACGACCGACCCCTACTGAATCTTTCATCCGGTTCAGAAACACTCTGTTGAAAACCTTTCCTGGTACTGACAGTAGGGTGATCCCTCTTTAATCCTCGTACTTGCTCAGATCTCCTTTTTGGTATCTTGATGAGGTGTCCTTCTTTCCATTCCATCGGGATGTTTGCAGTTACTTCTGTGTTTGACTTTACTGCTTCAACGGATATATTGTCAGGTCCTACTGCTCTCCCACTGTTGATTGGTCTGATGGTCATTCTGGTTTCTTCGATCGTTGTTGAAGTGACATTTACAGGTGCTACATCGATATGCGATGGATTCAATGGAGTTATTCATATTAATGGATAGGACTTCTGATTTGTCGCACAACAATATATATATATATATATTGCAATCGGTAAACTACTGACTAGATAGATTATTCTATGAGATTCTCTATCTTAGATTTACGCAAATTCAGTCATACAACATGGGAATTCTCCCAAAATGTGAAATTGATTTGACACGATAAAATTATTTATATTAGAAAAACGTAAACCCTATTTTACATGGTTTTGTATGTTCCCATCATCTAATTTACTCATTTACAGGTACTTGGAATCACAGTTCTTCAGTTTGCAATCACTTTTGGAGGAACAAACTTGTTTATTCTAGTGTATGTTGTGTTACTGTTTAGTAAACTTAAATCAAATTTCTTTTAAGCCAACAGATCAGTGAATGGATTAAAGGTAATGTGGTAATCTTATGGATCTCATGGTAAGAACCATTTACTTTACCATCATTATTCAATATATAAATAATAACATTAATAGAATGAAAATATGACGCTGTTTCAAATTAAGCCTTTGTTATATTTACGGATTGTCAATACATTTCAGTATCACTATCCATCAAGTTTAGTCACATATATATTCGCATAGTATTCAATGTCTGTCACGATGGTACTGATAATTTGATATTATGATGAATTCAATAAGATGATCGAAATGATATTTTATTCATTAAATGTTTCACAAGATCCAAACCGAACAGATGGTTGTATTGTGATGCTTTAATGGTAGTTCTTAAATACTTAATCTATAAAAGGATGAAATACTTACAAATTTACTTATTTACGTCTGTTACCCCTCATAGAGGAGCATAGGCCACCCACCAACATTCTACACCCAACGCTGTCCTTGACAATTCTTTACAGTTCTTTCCGATTGCTATTCATCCTTTTCATATCTGGTTCTAATTTTCGATGCAGTGTGTTCTTCGGTCTTTCTCATTTCTGTTTCTCCTCAGGATTTCAAGTGAATGCCAGTTAAATTGAGATCTGATTAATCCTTATTCAGTGCTTGTCAGCAATTTTCTATATCATTGACTAAAGTTAAAAAGATGAATCTAGAATTGATTATCAATGTAAACTTGAATTTATTTGAGAAATGTGTAAAATATTAGAATAATGAATCAAAGTTTTGAAGATTGATCGACTTATATTCTAGCGATAACGCGGATTTTAACAAAGCAGAATTCCCACCACACAATTAAATGATTCAGCTTAAACATCCCACTCATATGAATACGTTCAAAACTATTTAAAAAATAAATATCGATAGAAATGGACATCAAATTAATATGCACAACACAGATAAGAAGATAAGATTGTGATGGAATGGGAGTATAGTTAAATAAATAAATGAATAAAAATAAATGAACATGAGTAGTATACAATGGGAAAACCAATCAGTAGAAAACATTTGACCAGAAAGGATTCTTTCAGTAGACTAAACTCCTTTCACTCTTGTGAAGTATGTAAAAGGAAATTACATCATGGCCTCGATCGGTTTCTATTCTCAGTTGTGTCTGGTAAGACATCGAGCCACTGAGTTGCACTGTCTCCTGATCAGAAAGTCGTGATGAACTGATCGATACCAGTCTTGTACAGCTTATATATTATTGGACTATGTCATAAATCGACCGTCTCTCAGTTTTCCCATACCAGTCACAGCCTCTGAAAATGAAGCACGATATGGAAGTCACTGGGATCACCTTCAAAACAAATATTGACAGATACGGTAGATGTTTAGCACCTCATCAGAGTATTGAATACAGGTCACGAATAAACAGTAAACACTGATATTGTCTTTTAAAAGATTTGGCTAGATCTATCTGTTGTCCTATCTGCATTATTAGGCGAATGTTGAAGCAGGCCAGTTTGAATGGGAGATCTGTTTCCAGAAAATCTCATTCACAATCTTCATCATGATGCTTATCTTTCAACTAGTCATTGATTTGATTTCATTTAGATGAGAAAGCAATTTCCTCATAGACAGACTGGTGTGTGATTTAAAGAATATGCATGAACGGAATAGAAAGTGGAGTGAGGTAAAACAAAGACATGAATTAAGTGGAAAATAAGTGTGTTTTGATTTGGCAATGAAGTGGAGATGGTAAATCCATTTCTCCATACTTATTCATTGTCATATATATGAGAAGGATGGAATACTATCCGGGCTCTCAGACAGAAGCATGTGGTTTTGATGAGGAACAACTTTCTGAAACCTTGTCCGACTGGTCTAATTCCCAAGCCGTGAAGCAACATCGAGAATAAACGTTATTTCATAGAGTGCTGAATCAGTAGACATGTGAACCAGTTTTTTAATACGTTCTCATAGCACGATATCCACTCAAAGCTACACGTCCTCTCCACTATATCAAAATATAATCTGCAACTATGAATGACATTATTATATTTGTCATTAAGTTAATATTCTTATAAATATTCTACTCTATCTACAGCGCTATCTACTTAGTTCTTCAAACAGTTTGGATGTTTGTTCCAGCATTATCACGGAAATATCCATACAATGTAATGTATCTAATACTGATGGTAAGTACATATTCATTTGAAGTGCAGTTAAAATTTACACATAGTAGAAATCTTAACATTGCAGTCAATTTATATATCCAAATATCTATCTATCTATCTATCTATCTATCTATCTATCTATCTATCTATCTATCTATCTATCTATCTATCTATCTATCTATCTATCTATCTATCTATCTATCTATCTATCTATCTATCTATCTATCTATCTATCTATCTATCTATCTATCTATCTATCTATCTATCTATCCCTCTGCCTATTCGGTCTACACATCATTATCGAATTGGTCACTTAAGTTTCGTATGAATTATCAGTCATCGGAAATAAAGGTTACTCTTTCAGTTACATGTTAATGATTGATTTCCTTTCGTATTGTAGTACCACCATATAAGTGTAGTATAAGTGCAACTAGTGTTGTAATTCCTAATACCCTTATTATCATTACTTTTATTATTATTATTGTTATTATTACAGACATTATTTTCAACCATTGCAATCGCATCGGATGCAACGTTGTACTTCGAGGATGTTGTCTATTTCATCTTCGCTGTATCGGTGACATTCATTAATTTAATTGTTTGCACTATAACTGTTCTACAATATGATTTCAGTAAACATTACACCATCAATCTGTTTGTTACATTAAGTATTGATTTGATACTAATCATTGGACAGATTCTTTACTTTACAATGAATAAGAATAATGTAATTGTATTTTGTTTGTCATTATAAAGCTCATATATTCAATTTAAATTCTGTAAATAACTCTATGTTATCATTTGTTATGAATATGCTAACATAATGATTAAGCATTTTAAGTGAGATAATTTCAGTTTTAATAGGGAAATCACATATTCAATGAAATTCTAACTGACGGTATTAAATAGAAGGCAAATTGGGAATAATGTTGTTATATTGAAGTAAATTGAAATAGTCAGTTTATTTGTTTATCACTACCCAGTACTTGTAACTGATGTAAAAACATAATTTATTCTAATGTTCTTAGATAGAAGTTGAACATGTAATCTATTGGATACTAGCTAAAATTCCTGTCGGTCATGTACTCGTTGATACACCTAAAAGCTCTGAATTATATATACTTATTGGATGTTTGTGAGTTTATATTCCTGTGGGATGTTAAACTGATACAAAGTACCAGAAGGGGTTTTGTGGAGATTGTAGCAATTTCAATAGTTGAGATCATGAGTCGGTTGAAGCGAGACTACCATGAAGTTAGACATTAACACCGTTGAATGCCGGCTTAGTGGTCTAGTGGTTAAGCGCTCGTGCGCGAGGTGCTTGTTTCGAATCTCTCGAATTCGCGAGGTGAGGTCGTGGATGCGCACTGCTGAGGAGTCTCACAATAGGACGAAACGGCCATCCAGTGCTTTTAGATTCTCTGTGGTGGTCTGCCTTGAACTGACTCATGATTTCAATTATTGGAATTGATACAAACTAGTTGTTCAATGACACTTTGGATTGATAATATTCACTTAGTTGATGTTAATCAGTGAAGAAAGTAAAATTTTCGTGAAATCTCATTCTTTGATCTGGATGATTTCAGTGTAAACCATTCAGATCAGAGAATGGAAATCCACTCCACTATCTCAAAACAAACTTCATTTGTCATTCGACTGATTCAAAAACTGAGTTAATGTTTGTGCTAATGAAAGTTGGTCTGTTAATCAACGTTTAGTAGAAAGGGATTTATGACATTATATGCTCAATTGCTTATACTTATTTTTTGGTACATATTAAATCAATAGTTGTCTCGCTTTATTGATTTTCGATAGCGTGAAACTTATTTCATCACACTATTTCTTTCTATCTTTTATTAGATTGTACTAGTTATTGCTGGTGCAATTACATTTCCATTAACAGTCTTTGTAAGTGAACTGTTTTGTTTTTTACATTTAATGGAACATCCTCAACTAACTATCATACGCATATTGTTTGAAAATCAATTTTACATAACACACATTCATTTTTAATTCCTCTTTCATAATTATATAATCAATACTATTAGAAATTTGAAGGCTTCCCAATACTCCATTTGAACTTGTGAAGTTGATCACATAATGTCGTAGATTGATTGAAGTTAAACTTGCATATCATTGAATCTCGGCTAAGTGGTCTACAGGTTATACGTCGTCGTACAAGATCGAATGTTCTCAGTTTGATCCCGATGATGGGGTTATGGTTAGGCACTGATGAGGACTCCAAATTTCATATGGTTTCCTAACTTAGATCAATTCATGATCATACTAACATCCGGAAATCTCCACAACACTCATACTACTACTAATACTACTTCTAAATTGTTTGACAACTGATTGAATCTCATATTTTGGTGAGAAGTGGATATTTTCAAATAAGTTATTCAATTTGTTCATGATATTACTGATGCATAAAATCATCTAATACTGACTACATAATTGATGTTTAGTCTAACACAATCAAATCAAAGAGAGAAGTTGGCAAGGGGATAATACAAATCAATCTACACCTTAACAACTAGTTTATGTATAGAAGTCAAGTGATTTTAGTATTCTAAAATCTTCTATGTAGGATATTTAACATGATCATGAATTCAGTACCTGATCAACTGGTTCAGAAGTCTTAGTCAATTGAATGAAGAATAATTGTGCAATGATTCCTCATCTCATTGTACATATATGTATATTTACATATGTATTGATAATTTCTCTTTCATAGAAATTATTATTTGAAATGAAGATGGTATTTGGAGGTGGTACATTTCGATATCATCAAATGGATTTAGTATTAGCAGCTGGAATTCTTTACAATTGTTGGTGGAATTTATTTTTAACATTAATGTGGTTATCTTCAATGACAGGTTTAAGAAATTTGAATTCAACGAATACTACTACTACCAGTACTACTTTATTAAATGTTCAATCTTCAATTCATTTAATAGTTCTAACTAAATTCGATTGAATATATATTTCTAGGGAAATATGTGTTGAAGAAGAATTCTCAAGTATTTTATTTTTTCTCTTTGAATAAACAGCCAATTTTTCAGTGGTCAATGTATATCATGGATGATGGTTATGTTGTGACTTATATTATTCTTTGTATAAGTTTATTCATTTCTGAAACTTAAATATCTTGTAGTGTCAGTTATTATGTATAAGCCTATATAGATTATTCTAGCTTCTGGACAAACCATTTTATCCATTCTATTTGAGTTACATCTTGACCTCGCTAATTCTTTACTTATCAAACTTGACTATATGTATATGTGTACACTTCTTATCCTACTTACCACATGTCAGTAGCTTATTTTTATGTGACTATAAATGTTGATTAACGCTTGATTAAATGGAGTTGGCTCAGTACTGTCCGTCGTTTCGTTCTCTCTTCTTCGCTTCCTTCGCTACGTCTCTCTGATTATCTGTTCCGATCAACGATTATACAACAGATATATGTATCGGGAAATTCATTCTCGTATTCGACTTATTTAATTCCATTATTCACTAATGTGATCTAAGTCGATGAATGGCGATATGTATATTTCAATAGTAATCAGAAACGATCTCATTGGAGTCAGATCGTGGGCTAGCAAATATTCGTACTATATACGAATGTTCATGTATAATGTGATTAGGAAATTGTAATGAGATGCAAGAAAGCTAAGTCTACAATCACTTGTTTTATTTATAAATTGGAATTTTTATTATACTAAACTAGTAATCTTTATCAATAAATTTTCCTGCTTCTTTTAACTTGGACTATGTGTGTATGATTGAATTTCAAGTGACAAGAGAAAAATATATTTATACTATGAGTTGTCATTTAGTATACCATAGGGCTAGTGATCCCATCCCATAGAAAACTAAATCGCTAAAAAACGATAACCAGGAAAACAAGTAAGTAAGTAAGTAAGTAAGTAAGTAAGTAAGTAAGTAAGTAAGTAAGTAAGTAAGTAAGTAAGTAAGTAAGTAAGTAAGCAAGTAAGTAAGTAGGTAAGTAAGTAAGTAAGTAAGTAAGTAAGTAAGCAAGTAAGTAAGTAAGTAAGTAAGTAAGTAAGCAAGTAAGTAAGTAAGTAAGTAAGTAAGCAAGTAAGTAAGTAAGTAAGTAAGTAAGTAAGTAAGTAAGTAAGCAAGTAAGTAAGTAAGTAAGTAAGTAAGTAAGTGAGTAAGTAAGTAAACAAGTAAGTAAGTAAGTAAGTAGGTAAGTAAGCAAGTAAGTAAGTAAGTAAGCAAGCAAGCGAGTAAGTAAGTAAGTAAGTAAGTAAGTAAGTAAGTAAGTAAGTAAGTAAGTAAGTAAGTAAGTAAGTAAGTAAGTAAGTAAGTAGGTAAGTAAGTGAGTAAGTAAGCAAGTAAGTAAGTAAGTAAGTAAGTAAGCAAGTAAGTAAGCAAGTAAGTAAGTAAGTAAGCAAGTAAGTAAGTAAGTAAGTGAGTAAGTAAGCAAGTAAGTAAGTAAGTAAGTAAGTAAGTGAGTAAGTAAGCAAGTAAGTAAGTAAGTAAGTAAGTAAGTAAGTAAGTAAGTAAGTAAGTAAGTAAGTAAGTAAGCAAGCAAGTGAGTAAGTAAGTAAGTAAGTAAGTAAGTAAGTAAGTGAGTAAGTAAGCAAGTAAGTAAGTAAGTAGGTAAGTAAGTAAGTAAGTAAGTAAGTGAGTAAGTAAGCAAGTAAGTAAGTAAGTAAGTAAGTAAGTGAGTAAGTAAGTGAGTAAGTAAGCAAGTAAGTAAGTAAGTAAGCAAGCAAGTGAGTAAGTAAGTAAGTAACTACAAACTTGGAATTTCAACCTTTCTATTTGGAATTCACTTCATAGTTAATTTTATCTCATAACTCTAACAATGAAATGATCTTCTTGGATGAATCAATTAATCATAACATGACCATTGTCCTTTTATTTAATATCATCAACATAAGTGCAGTTTCAATATACTTCTCAAAATAGAACTTTGAAATATAGTTTTATCAAATTGGTAATCATGAAAATTGCTTTATACATAATGCATAAATAATCAGTTTGTGTGGTATAAATGATGTTGTAAAGAAGAAGGAACAAACAAAGAGTATGATGATATGGTAAAACAGTTTATTAAGCTAAACCATCATGGATAACCTTGAGGCAATAGATGGCCGTTTCGTCCAATTGTGAGACTCCTCACTAGTAAACATCCACGATCTCGACTCGTGAGATTCGAACCTAGGACCTATCGGTCCCGCGCGAGAACGCTTATGCTCTAGACCACTGAGTCAACATCCAACGGTGTTGATGTCTTACTTCAACTAATCCACGAAATTGAGAGACACATCTACAAGTGTCTTCGGTGAATTACTATCTCACAATAGGCACAGCTAAACTTTATTGGTCACTGCTTTTCATTAGAACTAGTATTATTGACTTGAATTCCTACAGCTTCTGCTAATATAAAAGAGATAATATCAAATCTTGTTAGAAAAGTGAGAATGAATATGGTAGGTTGTTTGAAATAAGTGAATTTCACTCATTATGTAACCACTATCAACCAGGTTTGATAAAACACAACGATATATTGATGACTTTACTTGGTCCTTCAAGTTATAATGACTGTATTTCATATAAGTTGGTTTCTTAACTGATGCGAGATTCGATACTTGCAACTAACTTGCATGCATTATCATTCGGTACATATGAATATAAATAAATGGTCTATTGTAAATCCGGAAATTGGGTCTGGAGCATACCTCTCATGGGTGCATTCATGTTTAACCAATCACTGTCAACTATCTTTTCAAAATATACATAATTATCAGTATTTTCACATATTAAATGAATTTTTAATAACAGTTCATATGTATTAGTAGCATTACTAAATATTACCACAGTTAAGCAATAACAAGGTCGACAAAATCTCCCTGATGAACGTGTGTTTATTAGTAGCGACCTTCGCAATTTCGTCCGATTCGTTTGAATGGGCACTATATTCACTATTGAGATCATATACTAAATCATTTTGGCATTCTATATTTTTCATCTTATGGTATGTGCTACTGACATCGACAAATATAAGTAGTATGTATTATCAATCGAAAGAGAAATGAATAATGGAAAAATGTTAGGAAGATTGAGAAAAAGTGAACGAGAACAAAGAATGATTGGTGTGGAAACAAAAGAACAATGAAGTCTGTGCAGATTGATGGACATTTTGTAAATGAAGTATTTACTGAATGGTTCTCAGATTTTAATAAGGGATTCTGTAATTTTGCATTCGTTTATCCCCACTTGTGTTTTCGTTCACTACAATCTGTAAAATAGTTAACAATTGAGCAGATTTAAATGTCTCTTATTTTTATCTCATTTATACGCCGGTAAGTATCATGATGACGAACAAAGCATACATAGATTATTTCAGCTTACATTCAATGCAAAAATATCACCATCATTATTTGAATATTGTCGTTGATTAATGGATGCTTCTTGTGAACTATCCAAGTTGTAGCTTACTCCCTGTGTCCACACGTTGACCACTTTTCCAATTCCACAATTATGTATCATCTCTTCTACTGACAGATTATGATGATTGATAGAATGCAATTTAACGACGATTGAGTTGAATCTGGAAGGAAATCACAAATGAAAAGATGATGTGGTGCAATATGACTCTCATGTAATAAAATCTCATAACTCATTTCCAAAATACTTGACTACACAATTAGATGTCAAGAATTTTCTGAATGAGTATTAAATTTATGCAAACTACAGATACACCATATGGGTGAGTGTCGAAATTCAATAGTCATCTATAATAATCAATTTGTGTAACTATGATCAATCGAAACAGATTCAACTGAATTCCGGTAAATCGTAATATGATCCGTGTTCAACGTTCATCACTCAATGCCGATTGTCTCGAAACACTGAATACTAGTCAAAATATACAGTGGATTTCAAATGCGATTCGATGCACAGTGGTGAGATGATCACATGATAGTGATTGTGTTGTGGTGATTCAAGTGTATGATTCATGGATTCTCGGTTATCGTTAGTTTATTAAAATGAGAATGAGTTTGTATGGTGGATAGCGTTTCTCACATTGTATGATAAGTGATGGAACAATTTCTGAAATTAACCACACTTCACTCATAACCGATGAGACAATTGAAGTGAGAATAGTGAGTCTCGTGAATTTCATTCGGTTTTCATCCTTAGTCGGTATTCAGTCAACGATGTATGTTTCAATATGAGGCCTTTATGTGATGTCCAGTAGTCAATAGTAATAAAGGTAGAATTGATGAATACATGATGAATATTTATTAACCTGAGACGAATTTTGGTAATTTGTTGGTCAAGCTGATGATTTGATTCTTGAGTCTTTCGTAAAGCAGTGGTTATTCAGAAGACGATGATGTATGTCAGATCACCTCATCCAAATATGACTCAACGTGAATGCAGCAATACACACATGGCACAATCATACTCTATGTGGTAGATGGCATTGCAAGCATGTCATAAAAACAAACGTAATGCATAAATCTCTACTATCCATCTAAGTAAATAACAATTGACTGGGAATTAGTGACTGATTAAGAACTGGGCTTTCCAAAATTCTCATGAGAAAGTGTGACGAGTTAATTGATTTGAAAATGAAATGGAATGGGAGATACAACCGAAATAAAGAAGAAAACAATTATTGGTTAGAGGTGTGGTATGATTCGTTATGCTTGAATGCTACTACTGATGCGTCTTACTCGAACGGAACGAAGGATCAATGATTCAGCGACTCGATAGCTATTCTGGTTCGTTGTCCCCAACTCTGCTAACTCGATCAAGAAGTCTGGGTAAGGTGTAGAAAGTGTATTCTACAGACAAACAGCAGATAACAAGTCAGGTCAAGCACACAAATCAAGAGTATTTATACAAATATTTACAGTCGATATTGTCATGGAAAATTTTTAAACATTAATCAATGAGTTCATCAATTGACCGCTATTTAACATTTAATCGATA